ATCAAAAGGTGGGAGAAGCAGCTACATTGGTCACAATGAGCAGTTTTTCTGTCATTTGGTGGAAAAAAGATTTACCATGTTTTCAGGAAGTTTTTCCATTGAATTCATTTTTTCATTTTATTTTTATTTTTTTTTAAGTTTAAATCTGAACTTAAGAGTTTAATCACTGATTTTTCGAAATCCAGTTCTGTCACACTTGGAGGTTAAATTTGCAATCCACAAAAGCAGCAGCTTGTTGGTATTTTTCTAAATCTTGCAGCAGTAGTTGTTTAGTAATGGTGGATGTGTTATGTTCCCCAGTAATAAGCTTTTAGAAAGGACAACCGTTGGGTTGTCAGGTTTTGAAAAATCCTTCCAGCTGGTCTCATCCTCAAAACGTTTGTATTTTTAGCCTCTCTGTAGCACTTTATAAATGGTTCTTAACGTGTAACTCATGGCTTTATTAATAGGTAATACGTCATTTATCAATGCATTAAAGATTAGTATCAAAAATAGCTTTTATTGTCTTTTTAACTCTGCAGAAGATGATTTGACCATTTACTTTCTGTGAAAGAGCTGCAGCTACAGCCTCACTGAGTTCTGATCTATAAAACACAAATAAATTATTTATTAATAAAGCAATTTATTACAACTCCTCATAAAGAATGCATGAGTCCACTTAGTTTCATAGTTTCTTCACTTTCAGTGTGATGAATACATTTAAGTCATTAGACTCCTTTGGTGGTATCTCCATTGTTGAAAACGTTTGTCATCATCATTTCTGATGATGCTTCTTTATATCCAGCACCACAGTTCAACGCTTATTATCATCACCAAACTGAGGAACAACTTTGTAACCTTAGATCAAGGGACTTTCACCTCTGTAGCCTTCTTTATGCATGTAAATGTCATGACCCTGACACCAGGTCCCTGCTGGACATGCAGAACATCACGGAGGCGTCGGATCTACACTCCATAATGGACATGCCACAAGCCCAAATGGGTATTATCAGCTGGGTGATAGAAGTTGGTATCTACTCCATGTCTGGGCTCCTGCCACGTCTACCACTCTCACCTCCGCAGGGACTCTGTGATGGACTCATATCGCCTCACACAATCTCCATGATACGAGGTGGCACCACCCTGGACTTGGATCGCGACGCAGCTTTGTTTTGTTTTGTAAGTGTGCGAGACAGAGACAGATACAGTAAGAAAAAAGAGAAAGTGAGTGTCCCATGCTCCCTGGATTCAGGCTGTGGATAATGGAAACAGATAGAAGCGACTCCAGTGGAACAACAACACTGATGACTTAAACAGAAATAAACATTCACCACCTCCTCTCAAAGGGCTTTATTTGCTGGTTGGGAAAACCTTTTTCAGCTCCATTAGACACAACAGGAAAAAAGGGGGACATATTTTCGTACATTTGTTATCATGAAAACTCACCTTGCTAAGCCCGTTCTCCTGCAACTTTGGTCGAACTTTTGGTGTTTAGTTGGTATAAACACAGAACACACCACAGTGCGATACTGCCAGTGTAAAGTTACTTCACTTTGGAGCATAATGGTTTAGGATAGAGCAGGATTAGGATTAGGTCATATTGCCCAGGGTGGTATCTACTTGCAAAGTTTGGACCAAGTATCTGTGGCTAAACGCACAATACTGATTAGAATAAAACTAACAACCATATAATAACCAGCCTGCTGAGGGTGTTCAGCCACAGCGAGGCGTACGGAGAGGAGGCGCCTCACCGTGGCAGATGTGAATTTGTCAGAAAAAGACAAACAAAAAACATGAAAATGCAAAGAGAGCGGCCTAAAATCAAGAAAGAAAACTTGATGTAATGGCTCTATGTGTGGCTGGACTCACTCTACATCCCCCCTCCCCATCAGCGCTAACATCCAGATGAAGGGCTGCTAAGTCAGCTCTGGTCCAGCCTGCTCTTGCTCCACAGCTCAGCCTCCCTGTGTGTGTGTGCTGCAGACAAAGATAGGACTCTCAAAGGGCCAGCACAATGCTGGGCAGCTCAAAGGCTCCCATTTCTGCCTGCTCCTCTCAGTCTCCCTCTATCACACTTTTTCTAATGGAAAAAATATATATAACCCGGCCCACACATCAGAACATGCTGTAGCATTGACAAAATGACTTATTACTCCTCGCTGCACACTTCCCTCTCCCTCCCTGGATTCATCAAGCTCCCAACCTCCCCTCAAAATGGCTGGCACCTCCTGGCGCTCGTCTAGCCTGTCACCCTTCCTCTGCAGTGACCTTGAGACAGAGATGAAGGAGTGATGGTGCTCCCATAACTGCTGCAATACCGTTTCTCTACCCCCTCACACACACACAAAAAAAACAACATACACAGCATCAAGATGGCTCTCACTTTTACTGACAGCTGGAGGAGGGGGGAAGAAAAAAAAACCCCTTTTGCATATCTACATCAATCAAAACAGGATTAGGGTGCCTCTCTCTGGTCCTTTTTATTTCCCATTAACTTGAAGTTGCTGATGAAATAGGGAGCTGTTACATGGTAACTGGGGTTGCAGAGCCGCATTGTGTCTTGTGCTATCTTCACCAGTTAATTCAAAAACATCAATTTTTTTTTTTTAAATTAACACGTAAGCTTGAGAAAAATCCCATTTGTTTGCAAGTTTTGAATGTTTGAACTGTAATCCTCTTCAAAAATAGATTTTTTTTTTTAAAGAACTGGCATCCTCATTACTGAGATTATTTTTTGTAACACTCCCGTATCGCCATCGCCAATGACGAAGGGGGGCAAAATGTTTCTGACAGCAAGACACACAGATGAAATGACATGACAATGTGTGAAGCAAAACTGTCTGCTGTGATCAACCACCTCCACAGGCAAAATGATCCACCCCCTCTCAAGAAACTTGTGACCGGTCACGTGACCCATTGAATGCCATTCTTTCACGTTCTGGTGCAATGGGGGACGTGGACAAGAGATGATGCATGAATTCTTAATCAAATAAAGACAGTGAGAAGTGATAGGAGTGGAAGGCAATCGTCCTGGCCGTGCTGAATTAATGAGGCGCTGGCTTCCTTCCGCATGCCAGGTTTCTGAATGACTCGGCTCATCAGCCGTCTTTACCGTCTGCGCCCGTCCCCGGGCCAGGCTCAGCGGGCTCAGAAAGCCGATCTCCATCCTATGCTGGCCGCACTTCAGTCACTAAAACGGAAAGTCTGATCAGTTTACAGCCTTGTTTTCCTCGTGACCTTGACCGTGCAGGGCGAAGGCTTTCGGCAGAAAATTCAGAGTTTTAAGTTAAGTTTAGAAGTGGGCATTCATGGCTCAGCTGAGGGTGAGATGGAGGGGCTGGTCAGGTGACCCCGTTCAAATCCTGTCCAGAACACCTTTCTCTGGCCACCTGAGCCTCTGCGTCGTGTGCCCATCTGCTGGCAGTCGAGTCAGGCAGCACAGAACCAATTCATCGCTTCACACCAATTCAAAATCTAGTTGCACTTGCCCTGTCAGGTTACACCTCCTCTCTCACACGTCTGCCTTTTTTTTTCTCCTAACACCTGTGGTGATGTCACCGAATAGTCCTGCAAAGAAACGCTGCTGCTGTGTATTTTCTCTTCAAAAAAAAAAAAAGAAAAAAAAGTAAAAATTACTCAAAGAAGAGTTGGGCATTCCCATGGCAACCAGGTCCTGTGGTATAGGCAGGGATATCAGGCCAAGCCCAATGCCATTTGCATACAAATTGCCCAGCTGGTACCTTGTTGTTATGACAACGGCACACAGCTCCCAGAATTCATTTGGAAGTGAAATACAAAAGGAAAGCAGCCAGCTAGGAGAGTCATTGATAAAATTCCCCTTTCTTTCACAATGAAGATGTTGCTGGCACGGTGTTGGCGTGTAAATCCAATCACCATACATCACCTGCAGGGGAAGAAATCATACACTCAGGCCTGCAATTACTTTAAAAGATAATGGCTTTAATGTCGATAAAATTGTGTGAACTATGAAATGGTTATGAATCCAAAATGTGCTTCACAACTACACTCACTGTAAACTCAATTTAGAGGAAATGATTGCTTTCGTATGTAACTGTCCTGACATGGCATTTGATATTTGCTTTTATTGCATAAGACAATCAACAATTTCTATTTGACCTCTGGTGGGGACACGTCAGTGCATCTGCCTTCTCCTTGGTTCACCTGATTTTGCAAACCTGTATATAATTCCCTACAATGAGCCATGCCAAATCCTCAGAGCTTGAGAGAGAAAGTAAACTCTGCTGACAACACAGTGTCCTCTACTGGCAGCATGTGGCAGGAAGTTTACACAACTGCCTGTCTGGCTAAACAGATAATATTTAGCTCAAGGGCAAGTGAGCTGATGCTTTTCCATAGTCATCCTGGCTCAGCTTACTGGTCAGTTAAATTGCCCTGCGCTGGGCTCCATGAGCATTCTGTGAACCCAGCATATCTATTTATTCCAGCAACTCCCACGAGACTCTGGTTTAATCATTGGCTTCTGTGCGCCTGTCAAACCATCGCAGGCTAATCAGTTTCTCTCCCAGCGGGAAACAAAGCAGGTTCCAGTACCTGACCTGTGCTGCTCTGGGAGACCGCTGACCTATGGGCAAGGTGAACCCTCACCCAGGCCAGTACACATTAAACTGAGCTTTTTTTTTTCTCCCCTTCAGCATGTTAATAATGGGCAAAAGGCCCAATGATACTCCTGTTACAGATTGTTGGAGACAACTGGTGCAAACAACTTCAGCCCGGATTGAAAGGCCTGTATCAGCAACATCACAACAAGACAGCAGGATGTGTGTGCGTGTTTGTGTGTGTGTGTTACAACCTCTACCTCGGGGTGGGAGCAGAAGGAAGGTGACACATTGTGCCTCTCCAGCATATAAATGCAGGAGCCTTGTAGCTGCCGGCTCTAAGGCGTGACAGTTTAGTAGGTTTCTTCCCCTGAACGCGCAACCTTTCCCAAGGTCACAACTCGCCAGCAGCTCAGATCTTTGCTAAAGCAACACCCTACTCATTTGTCACTTACCATCCAATTCAACATGGCAACTCGATGGGGACTCTGTGGAGCGGGAAAGATCAGCCATGACTTCAGCGTGGCCATGAAGACGCTGCCTCCTGGAGATCACCAGGTACTCAATACAAACAGCATCACTGCATCTTCAGTGTCACACAGGATGTCTCTTTGTGAGCTGCAGTGTGTGTGTTTTTGCTCTTATGTTTAGATAGCAGTCATCGCATCGAGGAGCATGGAGCGTGCTAAAGACTTTGCCAAGAAACATGGCATTCCTAAAGCTTATGGCAGCTACGAGGAGCTGGCCAATGACCCGAATGTTGGTGAGTTAAAAGTGAGGAACAACATGGCTGCACAGGCAGCGATAATGTTGTGGTCAGTGTCACTAAAACCGAAACATCTGTGTTCCTCACAGACATTGTGTACCTGGGAGTGCTGCACACAGAGCACTGGCGAGTTGGTCTGCTGTTCCTCAAGGCTGGGAAAAATGTGCTGTGCGAGAAACCCTTTGCTATGAACTCCAGACAGGTGAAAGACCTTGTCGCTGCAGCCAAGAAAAACAATGTCTTCCTGATGGAGGTAAGGTTTCAGGGATGAAATGAGTTCAGACAGACCTTTGTCCAGGGGTCATTTGCTGAGTGTAGCCGACATGCAGGTGATTTCGAGGTGCAAAAGAGTTTAGGGATATAAACTGGAAGGTAATAATCGCAACATGGTGAAGAAATAGATTTTATGTTTCTGTTTTTGGCAAACAGCTTAGCTTTATTCTCCTGCAGAGAATTAGGTTAGACTATCAATATCATATTTGTGTTTCTGTGGTGAATACGAAACAGTTGCTTAGTTTAGCAGCTTGATTGGCTCTGTGTAAAGAACCCACCAATGTATTATGTAATATAAATGTGCATTATGCTGCTGTTATTCTTAATCTTGATGGAATTTGAGGGGCTACAAAGCCCAGGTAAGTAAACGGTAAACGATCTGCACCTACAGCACTTTTCTACCTTAATGCTGTTAAAAGCTCTTTACAGTATTTCCCATTCATACATTCACACACACACACACACACATTACACATTCCCACATAAGTGGCTACAGAGCTGCCAGGTAAGGTGCTTGCCTGGTACCAGGACTAATTTCAGAGGTTTGGTGTCTTGCCTAAGAACACTTCGGCATGTGGAGGGGGCTCAGCCACCAACCCCGTGATTAGTGGACGACCCACTCTACCAGCTGGAGCCAGAACCGCCCAGTTGCTGCTGCAGTTTTATGAATTGTCACTTTAAACTGGCCCCAAAAGAGAGCCAGTTCCCAAAGATCCTCATGTTAGAATGTTCAACTTTACCCCAGAAATGAACATGGTTACAGCCTGGTGTTATAAAGGGGTTTGGTCTTTGAAGCTTGCTTCCCTTTTATGACAACCACACAGGGGTTGGTTGGATTTTTTGCACAATTCACTTGTTTAAATTGTATTCAGGCTTAAAATTACACATAAATGATGAGGTGGCCTCTATGAGTGATGAGTCAGTACTCTCACAGGCCAGAGGTATTTTCAGGAACCCTTTAAGCTCTACTTGCACTGCCACTCTTTGCTCATTTTTTGATTAGCTGAGATTTTTGGCCAGAGTTCAGGAAATCTTGTTCATCTTTATATACAGTCAATATAGCTTGTTAGTTTAAATACAGATTAAAAAAAAATAAAAAATCTAATATGTGAATTAATCAGGTTTAGTTGAGCTGGTATTACAAGTTATGTCAGTTAGGTCTGACTGTAGCTTCATATTTGCCATTACCACTATGAGGGTGGTCCTGATGTTCACATCTAACGCTGAACAGTTTCTCAAAATGTCAAACTGTTGCTTTAACCCGCTGCAGGTGGCTGCTTGACACCATGTCCTGTATAAATCATGTAACATAGATGATGACAGTTTGTATTTATCCTACCATGAGTGCACACATGTGAAACCCAAGAGACTCGTGCAAGACGCAAAACCCGGGGCGTCCTGGGAATACTCATGTTTCACGGTGCGCATCTGCCACGGTAGTCATATAAGTGAAGAGCTGTAATAATAAACTGCTGCTCAGGTGAAACTTCAGTATAAACTGTTTTCTGAAGCTGAGTTGCTCCGTCCCTCTCAGGCCATCTGGTCCCGCTGTTTCCCCGTGCACGCTGAGGTACGCAGGCTGCTGGCGGAGGAGGCGGTCGGGGAGGTGAAGCTGGTGAAGGCTTACTTCGGCTCCTCTCAGCTCCACATCCCCCGCTCGGTGGAGAAGGAGCTGGGTGGAGGAGCTCTGCTGGACATTGGAGTCTACTGCCTGCAGTTTGTGCTGATGGTGTTCAACGGCGAGAGGCCAGAGACTATCCAGGCCACAGGGGTGCTGCTTGACTCAGGTATGATTCAGCACTCAGGTCACGCAGCAGACGTGAGGCGTAAGTAGGTATCATTAACCACGCGGCACGAATCAGTGATCACAAACTGGCTATTGAGCCTCATAATAGGAAGAAAATAAGAGCAAAGAATCCCTTGAGAAACTTACACAGGAAATCACTTTTTAAATGAACTGTCCAAAATGTAAATACCTCAGGGCAGAATTCTTCACACAGAAAATCCAAGACTTATCATTTAAATGTCAGACTAATCCAAATCCCCCTGGAGAATACAGTAATACAGTAAAACTGGCAGGGGAATATGTAACTGCATGCCTCACAGAAAGATATCCTTCAGTGTAAGACCATCATGCTAAACATTTAAAGAGCATTTTCTTGCCTTTATGTGGGGTTTATAACAGTTTATTAAATATGCAGAGAATATGTTTTTCCATTTTATGTATTTTGGCCTTTATTTTTAAATCAAGAAATTCTGCTACTGAAGCTGAATAGAACTTCACATTTTCATTTAATTAAAATGTGCTAAGAAAAAGCACATTGAAAAGATCTGAAGTGACCCGAAGCAGCGTGATGATATTCATTTAGTCCTTCATTTGCGGCTCACTAGTTTAACAGTTATTTAACGCTTTTTCTTTTTTTTTTCTTCTTTCGAACCGTTTGGCAGGAGTGGATGAGTCAGTGGTTGTGGTGATGAAATTCTCCAGGAAGAGGATGGCCTTCTGTACCTTTTCAATCGCTGCTCGACTTCCAAACGATGCTGTCATCAGCGGCACTAAGGGCTCCATTAAAGTATGCTATGCTAGGCCTGTGCAGGAACATTTTACTTAATTAAGAAATGACAGAGACATGCAAAGACTGAGCTGACTGATAATTACTTTCACATTTAATTAAACAGACGTACTCAGACGGAGAACCATATCCACTGCATTTGATGATTTACAAGCCGTGGGACTGGATACACACAAAAAAATTTGCCTGCTTTTTACCCATCAGGTCCTTGGCCCCATGCACTGCCCCACCACGCTGGTGGTGAACGACAAGGAAACGGAGTACCCCTTGCCTGAGCCGTGTCTCCCTCTGAATTTCACCAACAGCACCGGGCTTCGCTATGAGGCGGAGGAAGTGAGGCAGTGCCTGCTTAAAGGTAGGTCATGATAAAAGGAAGGATGCGTATTTGTCTTCAAAGAGATGGAATTGTTTGAACAGCCCAAACCACTGTTTCAAAGGTAAAGTGAGTTTGAAATGAAGACACTGCAATTCATTGAAACTGTTGCATTCTTGGGGATTCTAATGAAAATTTGTGTGGTTATAGACGAATGCACTCATCAGATTGAGTCTTAATCAATGCAGTTATCAGTCCTTGGAGTGTCCTCTAGCTTGTATTGTATCACAGTCCCGTTGGTTTGGCTTCTTCTTTCAATTTGCATAATCTTTACATCCCTGCTTTACCATAAATTATGCTACATTATGAATATGCGCATAATTTAACTGCGGCTATAAACAGACGTCTGGTCCCTCAGTCTGATTTTCTTGGTCAACTCCTCTTCATCTGCAGGACTTAAGGAGAGCCCACGGATGCCTCTGGCAGACTCTGTCCTACTGACGGAGATCATGGATGAAATCAGGAAGCAGGTGGGAGTTGTCTTCAGCCAGGACAGCCAGTGACATCACTCCAAAGCAGAGCTCTTTCACCCGACGTTGTCAGATAGAGCAGAGGGAGCTGCTTGAGGCAGGCTTTGGATCTTTGGAATAAGCAGATCACTCATGGCACCGTGTGACAAAGCCTGAGCAGACACAGTATCACCGCGGCAACTGTGACTTGCGTAACATTTGTCACTGAATTAAAGAATCAGTAAATTATTGGAACATGTAAACTGCACGTGTGTTGCTTTTTATTTTTGCCTCTAGGTAGCACCGTAAAACATAACTAGTGTAACCAGATTAACTGTGCAAACACAACTGCCTATTCTTGTATTACACAGTTTACACAGTCATGTTGATAACAAATCTTAAACCAGATAAATCACAATGTAAACAAACAGGTGACTGCACTGCGTGTCACCAAGCTGTAATGAAGTCCTAGACCTTTAAAGACAAACCCAGCTGTCACTATGAGGTGTGTGATTGATGAATTCAATAAAGGACTGATTGTGAAAGCCATGTTTCATTTCAAAAATCATCCGCTGCAGAGAAGAAGGGACTTGGAGTGGCACATTTGAATCGAAGTGTTCTGTCATGTCTGACCCTTGCAGCAGTGTACAAATAGATTCAAAAATAGGTTGCACTGTCTGCTTTTCAAGGTCAGGACGGAGAAAAGCCTTTCTGAGTCAGCAAAGAGCACGGCTCATTTACTACTTGTTCCCAACCTTTTGGGTTCACTGGATGGTGTTGCGTGGCATCCCATGAATGTAAAATTGCACATTTTGATGTCACAGCATATTTTTGATCTTAGTGTTTTGTTTGATTAATGAGCAATGCTTGCATACTTATGTGTTTTGCTTTCTACATCCCGTGCTACTTCTGTGTTATAAGCTACCGCATTTATTAAATGGACTATTTAAACACGAAAGTGATAAATAACAGCTCCAGTATATCCCTAAACATGTCACCACTTCCCAGAACCGAAGGAGCTGTTTTATAGTTGACCTCTGACCTTTGATTACCAAAAACAAAAACATTCTCAACCAAAAATAGTACAAGATTAAATCTACAATAAAGTTTATTTATATAGTGCAACTGAAATAACATAATATACAATTATATTACACTTAATGAGATTTTTTTTAAAACAGACAATTCAGTAGCAGTAATAGAATTCAGTAAAAGATGGGTGCACTGAAGATGAAACACCTAAAAGACAAATGAATCGTATCATTATTATAGATAAATAGATTCTAGATATATGCTTTGTCGATCCCAAGGGAAATTTAAGTGTCACTGCAGCACAGTAAGAAAGAATTCACACCGTTATTCAGCAGGAAACATAAAGTAAAAGACAAATAATGCAGTGTTATTCCACTGATTACAGGCAGTGAGCTTTCCTTAGAGAGGATGGAGGAGATAAGAGAATACAAGACAAAAATAATAATAATAATAAAAAAAGAGTATTTTTTGTCATAGACTGTAATTCTTTTCTTATGATCTCCATCTGGCGGTGTGTATTTGTTCTGTTCTCAAAATCACTGTCATCACCACCATGTCTTTGTCATCATATTTTTTATTTTTTGGGGGGGATTATACCAAGGCGGTGAATCTTTTGCTTTTATATTTGTGATGTCTCCAGCTTCTTCTGGGAAAGTGTATATAGGTAATAAAATGTTGGAATTTGCATATATTACATATTAGCTTGTAAATTTAGGAATAAATACATTTATATTTTAAAACGCGTGCTACACTGGAGCAATGCCTGTAAACCTGTGTTTTATAGAGTCCGTGGTGTAGAAATGTTGATTCACAAAGAAATAAATAAAAGTGTGGCGTCACACAGTCAAAACTAAAGCTGCGTCGCCCCCCTGTGGCAGAAACCAGTCACTGCTGATGTAAACCCATAAGGATCATCGCTTCTTTTCTTTTTTTTCCACTGATTTCACCCTCCTTCGTCTCCTCATCCTCTGCGTAATCGTGAAAGGACGTCTCAGCTCCTAAACTGCACCTCGAGGATGAAGGAGGTAGGAAGGCGACGAGGACGCACGTGTGCATCCTCAAATGCGTCCTAGATGTAGACTTTCCCGCAGTCGTGACATAAAAGAAAGCTGAAATATACAAGCCATGCTGGGAGCAAGATAAACACTAGAACAATCATACCAGGGGGAGAACACAGTTACAGGTAAAGAAAGATAATACAGTTTAAAAATGCATGATGGGTCTCATGGCTTTGGGGTTGGTGCTTTTATCGTTGTTGTTTAATTTTTTTTACTTCTGTTTTTGTTGTTGTTTTTAAACATATATTGTCTGATATTCGTTTCTCTGTCCAAATTCATATCAAGTTTGTTCTACAATAACAATTTTCTAAGGACAACGTCTATTTTCGTACTGTTTTACACTTTAGAAATAAAGTCATTGTTCGTTTTGGGACAGTTCAAATATTTTAACAGTTTTATATATTTTTTTCTTTTTATATTGTTTAATGGTTTAATATGTTCTTCAAAGTAAATAGATAATTTAGCAAGAAATTGGTTTTAGATTTGTCCGGCAGAGATAATAAACTACAAAACAAAACAGGTGCGACAGCCGTCATACGTCATATTTAAGCGACGTCGCTTTAAAGTGACGCACCGAGGTGAGCCTGTCACATTCGTGTCTTCCGCTCCTCTTTCCTGGCGTCTTCTCCGCTCGAATCTCAGGTGGGAGGAACCAAAAGTCGAGCACGTTCAAGTGTTGGAATGAGATAAGAAGATAAGTGTGTCAGTCCGTCTCTGTCCAACATGGCAACCAGGTGGGGGATCTGCGGCGCCGGCAGAATCAGCCATGACTTCACTGTGGCTCTGAAAACTCTTCCAGCTGGAGACCATCAGGTATGAGAGGACTCCAAAGTTAGACTTCTCTGGAGCTGAACTGCCTCTCTGCTGTTTCTGCTGGTCATAAGTTCTGTTGCATTCTGCATACGTAGCTTTCACGACCTAAAGCAGTTTGAGCGTTAAAAAAAGGCATTAGAATACACTTTATTGCTTTTCAGTACAACTCCAGTACAAAGTGCAGCACTTAAACCTAAAGATTTCTTTTCGATGTGTGAGATGACACCCAGTGGATGTGACCTTTTGTGCCACTGAGAAATCAATAAAAGAAAAAACAATCATTAACAGGGTTATGCAGAAACTTTGCATCTAGTTGAAAGGACACTCCTCCTTCACCCTTGTAATACACAGCAGACTGTGTGAAATGTGTCTGTAATGAGCCTCTCAGTCCGGCAGTAGAGGACTAACTCATCTGCGGTTGTTGTGTTCGCAGGTTGTGGCCGTGGCAGCTCGCAAGTTGGAGGGTGCGCAGGAGTTTGCCAAAAAGCACAGCATCTCCCGAGCATATGGCAGCTATGAGGAGCTGGCCAGAGACCCAGACATAGGTCAGTATCTATCTGTTCGTGGGGTCTGGTTTTCTTGGTTGGTGTTTGTTGTGTCAGACGTTTGCTGCGGTGTTTGGGACTCTTCAGTCGGTTTGCAGCAACATTACAAATCTCCAACCATCTGCTCAATATCTGCTAACTTCCAGCTTAGTTTGAGCCACAACTGTTTTGTCACAGCAGATGATGATATTTCACTCATACATTTTATGCTCTCACATCCATGTCTATGTGTGTGTGCAGCAGTGGTGGAATATATATTCCTATTTACTCAAATGCTGTACTTACGCACAAATTTGAGGCACTTGAACTTCATGTGAGTCTTTTCTTTTCATATAACTTTCTGCTCCACTACATCTCAGAGGGAAGTAGTACTTTTTTGCATTCAAATTGTATAACAAACTTAAAAAATAGGATGTTTTGGTGTAAATTAATTTGTTTATCTATTTATGCAACTATAGCCAAAGTGATCTCTGGATTAATTAGTTAATTGACAGAAACAGAAACTATTTTGATAACTGTTTAGAGCTCTTGTTACAATATTTCACACTATTTTTATAATTTTTTATGAACCGGACAATCAAACTGTTATTGGAGAAAATAATCAACTAATTATTCCTGAATGAAAATAATCATTCGTAGTTCATCCATCCATCCATCCATCCATCCATCCATCCATCCATCCAGCCATTCATCCATTCATTCCAGCTTTCCAGTCCCTACTGGGTGTCCCGAGGCGTTCCCTTTCCAGTTGACATGTAATCCCTCCAGCGATTTCTGGGTCTAACTCGGGGGTCTGCTTGCTAGCATGCAGGTGCACAAGTTGCCCTCAGCCTGAGGCTTGTGAGTATGCCACCACCTACCTGATGCCTCTTGCCCTGGGACCCTCCAGAACAAGAGAGTCCAACCTTTCTCTAGGAGTTTGGTTCCAGAATGTTTGCTGTGCGTGTCGGTAAACTGAACTATATCCAGTCAGCACCACTCCACCTCCTGCATCAGCTCAGGTTCCTTCCCTGCCAGTGAGGTGATGTTCCACTACCCCACAACTCGTCCACCAGGGAGTGGCATGCTTGGGTGCCTGCTCCTGCACGCTCAGCATTGCACCCGACCCCAGTGCCCAGCCCTGTGGGTGGTGGGCCCACTGGGAGCCGGCCCCATGTTGTTCTTTCAAGCTGTGCCTGACCGAGTGCCACGAGGCAAGGCTCAGCAACCAGACGCTCGCTGGCAAGCTCCCCTCCCGGGGGAGCCTGGTCTCCCTTCTGTGGGGGAGGTGGCACCTTCTGTTTTTTTTTTGTTTTTTTTTTCAAATTAAATTTGGATTTAATAGTTGAAACTAGCTCCACCTCAACCAACTACAGTAATAAAATCCTACTTTTACATAAATGGTGAGTGAAATAATCTTATGATATGATATATACTAGTATAACAAACACAATGTCATTTTTATGCATTGAGCAATTTTACTTTCAAACTTTAAGAACAATTTATTCCTAATGCTTACATACTTTTACTGAAGTAGCACTTCCAATGCAGGACTTTTCCTTGTATCAGAACAACTTTACAGTGTGGTATTAGTAGTTTCACTTAAGTAAAGGATGTGAATACCTCTTCTACCACTGTGTGCAGATGTGGTGTACATTGGAGTTATCCACCCCTACCATCTAAGCACTTGTCTGCTCTTTACAAATGCCAAGAAGAACGTGCTGTGTGAGAAGCCGCTGGCCATGAACAGCAGGGAGGTTCAGGAGATTCTGGACTCTGCAAAGAAGAATGACGTGTTTCTCATGGAGGTACAGATGGAGCAGACCAGAAAGAAAGAAGAAAAAAATATATACTCTCCAAAGCTTTAGTTTTCTCTTATTTTTTTTTGCTTGTCACCTGCAAATCAGTGTAGGTTCAGGATGCTGGACTGTAAGTAATGTCTTCATGCAATTTTTGCTTTCATCAGTCACAAAGTATTACCAGTCATTTTGATAGATTTCATTTATGCAACCATCAGTTCTGTATTTTTATTTTGTTTTAGTTGTCTTTTTCTCATCCAAAACTTAGAGGGGTATAACAGTTACTTAGAGGTCCTTAAATACAGAAATATCCTCATCAAAAACATCTGCCATAAAAAATAGTATATAATAATGTTCACTGAAGGGCTAAGTGGAAAACTCACTTGAAGGAGTGCATGTGTCAGGGTGTGTGGATCTCTGTGTAGTTATGTATGTGTATATGGTAAGGTGAAATTGTTAAGGGGCATTGGAGCTTCTTTATCCAAGTCAAGCTGACTGTTTATTTCTGTACAGAGCAAAGTAAATTAAAAAACGATGCAGTGGCAGATACTACCTCTGAGCTCATATCAACATCTGGCCATATTCACGTGCATGTAGACAAAAAAGAAGCCACCTACAAACCAACACCCCCAAATTGTTTGAGTCATGTAAGGTTATTCCATTGGCCTACAGTGTCCTATAATACATCAACAAGTGAGAACATTTAAAAGAAGGGTATATTTGCTCTGTATGCCAAATGTGAAAAAATGCACAATCTGGTGAAAAGAGTAACATTTTTTGGACACAGTGTATTATTGCCATGCTGTTGGAGTTAAGATCAAAATTTAAAAATCCCTCTAAAAATGCACAATGTTGCCACATTTTATGCAAAATGCATTAACACAGCCAAAATTATACAAAAAAAAAAAACAAGATAAAATTGTGTATAGGGTTAAATGAGGATTACGTTTATTTTTAATTCTTAATCTTAAATCACTACATAACACAAAACCAAGCACTAAGAATGTAGCCGTGAAATCCCTTCATTTATTTTGCTGCAGGCTGTGTGGACTCGCTTCTTCCCAGCCTCTGTGGAGATCAGACGGCTGCTGGCCCAGGGGGAGTTGGGCGAGGTGAAGATGGTCAGAGCTGAGTTTGGTTTGCCGCTGATGCACATTCCGAGATCATCACAGAAGGAGCTGGGCGCAGGAACAATGCTGGATCTTGGCATTTACTGCCTGCAGTTCATATGCATGGTGTACAACAGAGAAAAGCCAGAGTGCATCCAAGCCACTGGCACATGCCAGGAAACAGGTAATAAATAATAACCCAGGTATACAGTAAGTCTCATTGATATCACTTCTGAAGTTTGGCACTTCATTCACATTTAGGGAAGTCTGTGCTTACTCAATACTTACTGTATGAGATCGTATTCAAACCGGGGCAGTGTTTTTGTCTAGTTCTGATAAGGCTTCATCTCTTTCCTTTTTATGTGTTCACTGGGACAATAAAAGTTAAACTACAATTGTCATGTATGTTGCACTGTTTTAAACCTTGTCATTAAATTCACTTTGTTTTTTGTTTTTACACCCCTTCATCAAATGTGTATCATATATTTGTATGTTGTAGGAGTGGATGAGAGTGTGATTGTCACTCTGAAGTTCTCCAACAACAGACTGGCAGTGTTCACTTCCTCCTCAGCTATGGCACTGCCTAATAGTGCCATCATTGTGGGAACAAAGGGCACAATTCAGGTTGGTGATCAAAAGAGAGCTGCATACATAAATACTACTTAAACAGTCTGAAAAGCAATATCAATTTGTGCTCCGTACATTTTTACAGTGTGTGAACTACATCATGACTTTTGGTGGAAGTCTTTTTTTTTTTTTTACTTTTTCATGATCAGAAGCAACAGATACAACATGCATAGAACAGGCTTTATTTAAAATATGAATAATATGAACACAGATTTTCAAAAAAGTAGCCACTGCTTCCTGTTTTCCTGCTGTTACACATCCATCCATCCATTATCTATACACCGCTTTATCCTCACGAGGGTCGCGGGGGGTCTGGAGTCTATCCCAGCCGACTTAGGGTGAAGGCAGGGGACATCCTGGACAAGTCGCCAGTCTATCACAGGGCTACACTTAGAGACAGACAACCAAGCACACTCACATTCACACCTACGGACAATTTAGAATCACCAATTAACCTCAACATGTTTTTGGACTGTGTGGGAGGAAGCCAGAGAACCCGGAGAGAACCCACGCTGCACGGGGAGAACATCATGCAAACTCCACGCAGAAAGATTCCGGAAAGATTCCCCACCGGGACGCGAACCGGCAACCTTCTTGGCAACAGTGCTAACCACTGCGCCACCCTGCAGCTCGCTGTTACACATGATCTATGTTAATAATGATACAGAGAAAAAATTAATGCATGCTGTAACCCCGCCAACATTTTCCCCTGAGCTCACACTGTGCATTTATATGTTCAGTATATCATGGTTTGCAAGTGAACAAGGTTCATTTATAAAGCAAATTATGAAGCAAGATGTGCGTTGGTAATAGGAAAATCCCCTTTATTATTCTGCTGTTTTTGTTGTGCACTTTTTTTTTTTTAGATCCCTGACCATATGTGGTGCCCAACAACACTGGATGTGAATGGGAAGGTGACTCAGTATCCACTGCCAGAACCCTATTTGCCCCTCAACTGCATCAAAAGTACAGGGATGCGCTATGAAGCAGAGGAGGTTCGACAGTGTTTGCTCAAAGGTATCAACATGCAGTGACTGACATGTTCTACACACATTGAACACAAGGTGGCATCAGAAACACTCATGTCTTCATGATGGAACTTTACTGTGTTTGTACAACCAAACTTATCAGTATGTTTTTCCATGTAGGGCTGAAGGAGAGTGCCGTTATGTCCCATTCCGACTCTGTGCTGCTGGCTGGGTTGGAGGATGAGATCCGCAGGCAGGTGGGGGTGGTGTACAGCCAGGACTCCAAGTAAATGTTGAGTATGTACCACGGCTGTGATCGAGGGGAACCATTTCAAAATGGAGAATAATTAGCTCTTGTTGTTCCAGCAGGACTTTATAATAATACACTACAGCAAGGATCATGTGTTGTGAAGATAAATGTTTGAGCAAATTTGTCTTTTCCTGCTGTCTGACCTCTTGATGTGATGAAAGTGTTGTGATGAAGAGGCTTACCGTACAGCTGTAGGCAAAACATTTTGGGGATTTTTGAAGTGAAAAAAAAATAACAAATACAATCCCAGCAGCAGAAAGTTAACATGTTAATGCTCTAGATGCTTTAAGTATAGCAATACACTGAAACACTAAAACCTTTCAAGTATCAAATATATTTTCACAAATTTGCAAAAGAGTTAAATCTCTCCTTTTCACCAGCCCTTGATTCCCTGTAAAGTTACATTTCTTTTTTAAATATATTTTTTGGCCTTTTGCCTTTATTTAGTGCAGTAGAGGGAGACAGGAAAGGGGGGAGAAGAATGGGGACAGACCTGCAGCAAAGGGTCGTGAGCGGGATTCGAACTCACGACCGCTGCATCGGGGAACTACAGCCCCTGTTCATGGGCCGCCCGCTCTACCAGGTGAGCTATAGGGGGGCCCGTAAAGTTACATTTCTGGTTATTCATCAAACTAAACATTTGCCAGGCAGAGTTCAAATACGTGGTCATCTCTTTTACTAATGGAAGTCCAGTCTTGAAGGACAGCTCAGTACACCAGCTAAACATTATATTTACACACTAGCTCAAACACATCTGGAGTGGACATCATAGTTCACCATTCACTAAGGGGTCAGTCTATCTCAAGTCATCCCCTTTGTTCGACCATTTTTGATTTGCTTGATACTTTTTTTTTTTTTTTTTTTTTTTAATCCTAAACTATGAATATCTAAAATGGTATTTGATGTATCAAATGCTTTCCTTGATAATTTAGTTTTTTCTAAAACTGTCTGACCCACTTTGAACACTATTGTTTTCACATTTAAATTTGAAACTCTGTTTGACACAACGTATAAGGAACTAATAAAGCGAAATGACTGAAATTTTCACTGTTATTTCTGAATATGCCATTGATTCATATATATAAAGGTAAACATGTAACATATTCTAGACCCATTACAAGTGAAGTGAAATGTTTCAATATTCCCTTTTTGGTTAGTCCATCAATGTGGACTGGTATGGAGGTGATCTGCCCGTAGCACTGCTGAGGTATTAATAAGGCACAAATTGCCTGGATGTCTTCAGCTCATCTATCAGTTCTACAGTTTCATTTAGCAGATGCTTTTATCCAAAGCGACGTACATCTGAGAGCAGATACAACACAAGCAAGGAGCTAGTCAGGAGAAAACAATCTAGATAAGCGCCATAGAACAAGTTCAAGTGTGAGAGAGCGTTGATGCCCATAGCAGGCTGTGTGGGAGGTAATAGGATTTTTAAATTTTTTTTCTGGATGTCAAGTGCAGAGGTCTTACGTGAAGAGCTGGGTCTTTAGTTCTTTCTTATAGACTGAGAGGGAGTCAGCAGATTGAGTCGAGCTATGACCTCGGGCCCTGTTGCGGTGGTTGTATCAGGCGGTTTGTGTTGGTCGAGCGTAGTGAGCGGGAGGGAGTGTAGATCTGAGTAAGAGGGTTCAGGTAATAGTAAGGGCATTTTATGAGATTTTTCACAAATCTACTAAATCGTTACCAAACAATTTCTTCACCAATATGTTTGTAAAGATGTGTAATAACATGCCTTAAAATGTTGAAGTTCAACTCCTGTGAGGGATCAAATCAGGGTTTTTTCATGATTCTGAGTTGCTTGTTAACATTTATATTTCACCACAAGCACTTCTTGGTTGAAAAAGGCCACACTCACTTTTACATTTACATTTACAGTAGCTTTTATTTCACATACTTATATAACACGCAGAGTTAGTTCTCATTCACAGTGTCAGAAGCTTCAAGAGTCATTGTCTACGTCTTCTTCAGACTCAATATTTCATTCATTGAGCTCTAGGATGTGTTATTTTAGTGTTCCCTTTATTTTTCGAGCAGTGAAAAAGTATGTGAAATAAAAGCTACTGTAAATGTAAATGTGAGTGTGTCCATGATGCTAACAATGCTAACAATCAAGTCAGAACCATGAAAAAACCCTAATTTGACCCTCGTAAGTTACTTAAGGCCTGATTTAAAAAAAAAAAAAAGATTTTTGTTTGGTAACAATTTAGTTGGCAAATTTTGATATTTTTCCCGTACTACATGTACAGGGGCCTCCACCACACGTTTCCAGTTCACCCTCACTACATATTTAGCAGGTCTGTCCAGCAGCCTTCCCTGCAATCGGATGTAACTCACCACTAGATGGTGATCTGTTTACAGCTATGCTGCTCTCTTCATCTGTGTGTCTGAGACATACGGGTGATGCTGTTTGGAGCATAAGCACAAATAGGAGTCTAAGTTTTCTTATTCGCAACACACAGTCGCAAGAGGCAACCCTCTCATTGTTTGGATGCCCAGCCAGGGGCTTGCAAGTATCCCTACATCGCCCTGCCTAACTTCAAAAATAGGAGAGAGTCCAACCCCTCACCAGGAGTTTGGCTGCAGAACCTTTGCTGTACATAGAAGTGAGTCTAACTATATCTAGTCATTACTGCTCCACTTCTCGCACCAGCACAGGTTTCATCCCCAACAGTGAGGTTAAGTTCCATGTCCCCATAACTAGTCTATGCCACAACTGCCTGGTTGGTATAGCACCCGACCCCATCTTACAGATCTGTGGTTAATGGGCCCAATTGGCCCATTCTACATTATATATATAATTCTATGTATTTATTTTATTTTAACTGTCTTTAATCACATCCAAAACTTAACCTAATATTGAGTTGACTCAGGTTAAAACACTACATAACACAAAACCAAACATGTGGAATGTAACTGTGAAATGCTTTCTGTCCTTTTGCTGTAGGCTGTCTGACTTATTCGCTTTTTCCTGGCCTCTGTGAAGATCAGACAGCTGCTGGCTCAGGCAGTGTTGAGAAAAGATGAGCTGGTTAAGTTTGGTGTACCACTGATGCACTTACTGAGATCAATGAAGGAGCTGGCCACAGGCACAATAATAGATATTGGCATCTACTGTCTACAGTTCAGTAGGATGCTGTACGACAGAACGAAGCCACTGGCACATGTCAGAATACAGGTAATAACTAACAGGGCAGGTATACAGCAAATCTCATTGATATCATTTCTAAAGCTCTGTCACTTAATATTTAAGAAAGACTGTGCTGATATACAGATAATACAGATAAGGTAATGTTGTAAGACAATCTGCAATTGTGAAAATAGCTGACTAATGCTGGGGTTGTATAAGGCTGCTGTAATTCCCGAGTCATTCGACTTAACATTGTTTTCATCACTAAAGGCATCATACAGACAGGTTGACATTGAAAGATAAGACTTCATCTTTTATCTCTGCATCTTTTATGAGTTAACTGAGGCAGTAAAGGTTAAACTACAACAATGATTTATGTTGCACTGTTCTAAAATCCTTTCACTACATTTACATGTTTTTTGTCATTAACATCTCTTCAGCAGCTGTGCATCATATATTTGTATGTTGTAGGAGTGGATGAGACTGTGGCCGTCACTCTGAAGTTCTCCAACAACAGATTGGTAGTTTTTACTTGCTCCTCAGTTATGGAGATGCCTAAAAGTGGCATCATTGTGGGGACAAAGGGCACAATCTGAGTAAGTCATTCAAGGACTGCTGCGTAACCAAACACAATTCTAAGAACCTGGCATGCAATATGAATTTGTGCTGTGCACCTGTATACAGTATGCAGACTAGACCATGACTCAGAAGGTTGCAGGCACATATTAGATCTCTGCATTTACTCCTGCAGTCCATTATCAAGGAATACAACTGAGAAAAGCCAGAGTGCATCAAAGGTGCTGCTACATGCTAGGAGATGGGAAATGAAAAAGGGCCAGGTGTCCAGCCAGTCTCATTGATATCATTTCTGAAGCTCTGGCACTTTATTTAGGGAACTCTTTGTTTACACAGTACTGTGAACGGTAAAGGTGATGTTGCAAGTCAAGCAGCAGTGATGAAAATAGCTGACTCATTCCAGGTTTGTGTAAAGCTGCTGCTCTAATTCCTGAGTCAGCTTCCTTACCACGGTTTCTTTACTAAATGCATCTCACACACACACACACACACACGCTGGCATTGACAGATAAGACTTCATCTCTTATCTCTGCCACGTTTATGTGTTAACTGGGGCAATAAAGGTTAAACTACAACAGTGATTGATGTTGCACTGTGTTGAAAACCTGTCACTAAATTTGCACATTTTTGTTTTAACACCTCTTCAGCAGCTGTGCATCATATATTTCGTGAAGGAGTGGATGAGACTGTGGTCGTCGCTCTGAATTCTCCAACACCAGATTGGCAGTGTTTACTTGTTCCTCGGTTATGGAGCTGCCAGTGGTGCCACCATTGTGGGGACAAAGGGCACAATCTGGGTAGGTCATCCAAGGACTGCTGCATAACCAAATACAATTCAAAGAGCCTGACGTGCAATATATTTTGTGCTATGCACCTGTATCCAGTGTGCATAATAAAACGTGATTTTGGGGAGCTCTTTTTTGTAGTTTGAAACAACATGTACAGCATTTATAAAATGATTGATTTAGCTTTTTTCAATCATTATTTCTACAAAGAATATGAATTAAAAGGGTTTGAAAAAAGGATGAAGGTCAGATTTGGTCTTTTGTTTCGTGCGCCAGGTAGGTGAAGTTTTGTAATTAAAAAAAATATATCTGCTGTTATTGTTGTGCACAGTTTTAGGTCCCTTATATTGTGTGGAGCCCAACATCACTAGATGTGAATGGGAAGGTGACTCAGTATCCACTACCAGAACCCTTTTTGCCTCACAGCTACATGAATGGTACAGGGATGCATTTTGAGACAGCAGGTTTGACAGTGTTTGCTTAAAGGTGACATTCAGCATATTTTAGTCTGTATACATATTACAAGAGAAATGTGTTAATATTTTAACAAATCATCACTTTCTGAATTAACAGACATGGAGAGACTGACATGTTACACACACATTGATTACAAAGCACCATCAGAAACATCCATCCATCCATT